TTGCTTTGACTATGAAATTTTATATATTTCTTATCAACGTTCACAATAATAATATTGTAAATAATTAACTTATTTAAAAGACAAAAGTTGGGATAGGCTGCAATTCCTTAAGCTATAGGTTTGGAATAATGTATTTTAAATTTTTAAATAAAATTTATTGTGTGTTATTTTAATTCCTAATATCATTTTATAAAATTATCAATTAATACTACTCATAACAAAATTTAAACTACAATTTAATTTTTTTGAATAAAAATTACATATGTTTATATATACAATAATAATGACATAATATATATAACATCTAAATGAATGTACCTATAAAAGTACTTTACTACTCTAATTCCTAATCTTTTATAAAATAAAAGATGTAAAAAATTATTTAATTAAACAGTAGATAGAATAATTTAATTGATTTTAAGTGTGAATTTTATTAATTAATTTTATATAAATTTTAAATTCACTTCAAACATCACGTTAAATATTTTTTTTTGGTTTTATAATAATTAGAACTCTCAAAATAAAATATATTTTAGACGTAAACAATGGAAGAAGCTGTCTAATGATAACTTTTTTTTTTTTAAGGATTAATTAATTAATTCAAATATAATCCTAAAAAATAATAATATCTTATAATAAGAGCCTGATTTTGTCTTTTATCAATAAAAGGCCTTAATATTAGGAATAGTTATACATACATATACATACGTACATATAGGAATATACACTTTATACACAATGTTTAATAAAACCTCATACATAAAAACTATACATATTATAATTAATGTACTAATAATATGCATAATTTGGTCGTAGGAAATAGTAATGTACATCTTAAAATTTGAATACTCCTCTATGTTCTCTTCAAAGGTAAATTTTTATTAAAAAGATGAATATTAAACATGAAGAAAGATAATTATAAATTGTAAACATGTATGCGGTAACTTCAGGGAACACTATCGCGAGATAATTAAATTAATTTACATACATCTATTATATATATATATATATATTAATACAATGCAATAAATATTTTACGTTAAATAAAAATTAAAACTAATATCTCTAACTTAAACTGTAAACATGAATAAAAAATAATTATTTATATGGGTATTTTATAGTAAAAAATTCATACCAGGAGAAATGATTGGGAAAAATGACTCCAATGTCACGTGGCTGGCTGGGCCAGGATGATTAGATTAATATAATTATCATAACTATGATTTATTAGAATAAAATAAATTAATTATACTAGTTGTTGCCTTCATATTTTATTATCTAAACTCAAAAGTTGGTTACAGGTACGTACTTACAATATAATAAGCTAATTGACTGAACATATATATATACACACACACACACACACACACACACATACACATACAGGAGCTGTTGTTTCGGGGGTAATAATTGAAACCAATATAATTATAATATATATATATATATTATGAAAAAAAAAAGAAAGTTTAACTTATAATGGGAAAAAAAATTACCCAATATCTTGAATAAAAATTATATAAAAGCAATATAATCACGGTAAATATAAAAGTAAAAAATGTGAAGAAATTGTAACTTAAGTGATGTTTTAAGTATGTAATTATTATTCATACATATTGAATAAAAATTAGGTATATATGTAATATATTAATTGTTATATATAAATTATATTAGGTGGATTAATTATAAATAAAATATTTAAAAGTATTGTAATAAATTATGTTTTGTAAAAAAAAAAAAGAAAAGAAAAAATCCACGTGGGATAATATCATTAATGCATAAAACAAGATTCACGTGTTGTGAATTGAGGGACAAAAAAGTTGGTCAACAGAAAAGCCCTTAGGAGTTATGAAAGGTTGTCACCCAACTCTAATCGTGCGCACCAGCCGGCGGTCTATTGACATAACTCAATCTTCTCCTTTTTAACTCCTTAAACTTCCAGATTTTATTCCTCATATCCTTTTCTTTTTTTTTTTTTTTTTTTTTTTTGGTAATTTCCTTCAAAACGTCGTGCTTTGGCCGGTGGCCTTCTTATAGAACCTTCTTTTTTTTAATAATAATAATAATAATAATAATAAAATTGTTTTTTAATTAAAAAAATGTTAAAATCTGACGGGTGGCGAGAAACTAGAGGAGGAACGAGAGTAGCGGCGGAATCTACGGATGGTACCTGGGGGTTGTTGGTTAATACGACTGTGTTTTATGGCTGTGTTCAGATGATCTAAATGGATTACTGAGAATATGTTGCCTTGTCAGAATTGAACTGGATTAATCTTAATCAATCAAAGAGATTTCACAGCTGGGTTTTGGTTTTCTCATAGATTATTCTGCGTGATTGTCCGTCCACTCAATTTCTCATTATTCATTTTATTAATTGATCCAATTAATTTTTTCAATCACTTAAATTAATTATTTTACTATCTTTATCTTACAGGTTCAATGAATATAATTAATCAAAGCCTCTTAATTCCCAATATATTGGTAATTAAATAACATATAATCTCCAATAATTTTTTTCATAAATCTGTTAATTAATACAAAAATAATTTCACCTCAGTAATATATATATATATATATATACCGGATTTATAAAATAATTTATTAAAATCATAAATTTAAGATATATTTGTGTTTTAATTGTAGTCTATAATTGTAATGTCTCGTGCATATTCATGCATCGAGACAATGACATTGTTAATTCATACAATGTTTTATACCACACAACACACACACACACATACATATATGGGTATATATATATATACATTTGCATTGATGATTTCAATAATTACACTTCAATTTTTTTTTAGGAGCATGTCTCGAATTCGGTATTTCCATTAAGGTGCTTGTTATTAAGACCTTGAAATGGAGTTTGTCGTTAAAACATTAATGTTGTATGCCCCCGAACTGCGCTAACGGAGAGGAATCAGACGGAGTCAGTACATGGAAGGGAGACATAAAACTCGTATCATAATTTTCTAATTATATTAATGTTTTCAATAAAGTCTGCTATTACCCACACACACACATATATATGTATATATATATATATATTATTGCTGTAAGTCTATAGATATTTGGAATAGTTAAAAGGAGATAGTTTTGAGCTGCGGAGTGGTATTAAAACTTGTAAAATTTATGATTGACATTCCCTTGCTTTTATTTATAAGAGATTTTATATTCAGAGTAGATATTCCCTTAATTTTATATTTAAGTGGAATTATACATTATCAGTAAAAAATGTCTATATATATATATATTAATTCATGAAATTTATTAGTTAAAAGAATTATAAAATAATACTAACAATATAATTTTGTTAAAAAATTACGAGATTGAATTTTATTTTATTATTTTATAAATATATTATAAATTAATTTTATTTAACATACAAATTTTGATATAATAAAATTCATAATTTAACTTACTAATAAAATTTTAACAATTAAATCATACTTTAGTTTAAATAAGTTATTATGTTTTTAAATAAAAAATATTTTTAATAATATTTTATTAATAAAAATACTTAGACTAAAGTTAAAAAATATATATATACATTTTTGTTAAGAAAAGGAGAGTACAGAAATCAGAGGGTGGAGAGTACTACCACTTGTTAGGTTGGTGTTGGTGCGAGACAAGAGAGCGAGTTTGGCGGTTACCGTGTCGGAATTTCAACTGGCTGTTTTGTCTTTTTATATAAACCCAATTCCCACGATCTGGCCTGGCCGTCTATCTTAGTCTTCCCACACAGTACTCAAATCCCCTTTTTTTTAAAAAAAATTATTATTATTATTATTATTATTCAACATAAGACCCCCCACGTTCTAAAAAATACGCATGCTCTCTCATATACAAACCTTTTATTTTCCTTCTCAACCTTGTCTTGTCATATTACCCACTAATTATTTATTATTATATTAAATAATAAATAATTATATGACATTATTTATAATTTTATACTTGTTTTTAAATACTAGATTGTAGGTTTTTAAATATTATAATTTTAACTTCATTCTGTATCTTTTTGTTAAGATATTTGTTACGTTGTTTTTCTTTTTTTTTTTTTCTATCAAAAAATTGATTATGTTAGTATATTTATACATAAATATAATTTTATTTTTTTTAATATAAGTTTATATATTTTAATAGTTATAAAATATTTATAAATCAATAATAATAAAATTCATTTCTAAATAAGAACAACATGACCAACTTTATATTAAAAATACATAAGTGAGGTTTAACTTTATTCGAATTTGTATTCTTATTAAGAAAAATAAAATTACTAACCTTCAATTAAAAGATAATTGATAAATACACAATGCTATTTACAAATTGATCCTTCTCATTATAATCTACATGACACTCTACATTACAATATATTGATATAAATGTAAAACTAGTATATGTAAATTTACAGAATTACAGATGCAGGTAAGTGAAAGAAAAAAACATATATATATATGTCACATATACTCTTTAAAAAATATTAAATGAATAAAAAAAATGTTATTGTTAATTAACTTGTGTTTCATACTTGCATGGTCACCTCTTAATTATTTGCTTTAATCACACTTAGTCTTCTCTTAATCATTTGCGTCTCCTCTTCCAATTCTTTAGACCTTTCGTCATTAACATCTTAATCCAGTTCTTAGCAGGTCTAAACTGTTTTTAATTCTTTAATTTAACGCCATTAAAGCATCTCTCTCACTTTATTATTCTAATCCATCATTACATGAATTTGGGCTACTTTTGGCGCTTCCTATGAGTTGGTATATACCCCACAGTTGACTCCCCCTCCCTTATTAATTATTTTTTAAACCAATGATTAAGGGAATTCAAAAATTAATTTTGTATTAGTGTATAAGTCAAATCCTTGATTTCATTAATTCCTCTTTGGTAATATAAATACGCCTCCTTGCTTTTGTTACTCCAAGGCCATTGCTTACAGAGTATTAGAAGAAAAGAAAACCCTTTTGTCTTTTAGTTCCTCATAAATAAAAATGGAGTCTTTTGGCGCTTTTCTCGAAGGTGATAATCCGTGGGAGCCTGAGTTCATGCAGTACTCTACTGTATTTCCCCTCGACGACAATGAGTTTTTCAGCATTTCGAGCTTTTGTTCCGTTCCTCAGATACCAAATATGAGCTTCATTAATGGCGACAGTACAACTTTGTTCGGTTCTATGAACAGTACTGCTAGTGGTCTTAGCTCTGGTTCTGAAGAAAGCAGCTATGGCAGCTATTGCACTGACATTGTCCAGAACAATTTTACTGCTCATAACCATGTTGCAGTGACAAATGATGTCCCTGACTCTGTTTACTCCATGGATTTTGTTGGGTTTGACGAGAAAAACAAGTCAATTCTCTGCGTTGTTCCTGAAATGATCATGGAGGACACTGGCTGCGCCGAAGAAGATCTGGGCGGCAAGAAGATAGCCGGCGCTAATTTAGTCGATTCCCAGCCACCATACGACGCCGTTTTAGCCAATCAATTGCAGCTCAAGCAGAAGTTTTCTCCAGAAATCCACCCTGTAACCCGAAACGGCATCGTTTCTGCCGAGAGTACCAAGAAAAGAACTCGGGTTTCCGGCCATGTGAGTACAATCTCAAACTATTTCCTCGATCAAAATTTTAGGTTACTATTTCTGAGTTCATTTCCAAATGAATAATAAGTTCAAACTGGAAGAGGAAAAGGAAAAAATGCATTTTAAATTCGAATTTATGAAATTGGAGATGTGTGATTTGAAGAGTTGGAAAATGCAGGCAGAAGAAAGTGGCAAGAGTGATAAGAGGAAGAAGAAGTACCAAAAGGTGAGTCAGAACCGAAGCAGTTATGAAGAGTCCATTAATGGCGGATTAGATGGACAGAGCTCTAGTGGGTGCAGCTCAGAAGATGAGAATACTTCAGAGGCCAAAGCAACTTCTTCAGCCGCTAATGTGAATGGGAAGACAAGAGCATCTAGAGGCACTGCCACTGACCCACAAAGCCTCTATGCAAGGGTAAATATATAATTTCACCTAATTATTCCAAAAATTATATATCACTTTTATACATTTTAATAATTATGTGACATACACTATAATAATACAATTAAATTTTTAATGAAAATATACACGAGATGATGCATGACATGACTTGAAATTTAGAAATTTTTTAATATTTTTCGTTTACATCGGAGAATATATCTAATTTGAGCTCGACTCAAATATGAATTTATATTCTTTTAATTACAACTGATTTTTCTCGCGTTGAAATCTTACAGAAAAGAAGAGAAAGAATCAACGAGAGACTAAAAATTTTGCAGAACCTCGTGCCAAATGGAACAAAGGTTGATATTAGCACAATGCTTGAAGAGGCAGTTCACTATGTGAAATTCTTGCAGCTCCAAATTAAGGTAAATTACTCTCCTAATTTTATAATTGAATGGTAATAAAAAATTAATTTTAAAGTAAACTATAATTAATTTATGTTACATAATTTATTGAATTAATTATTATTATTATTATTTCTCTGTGTAGCTGTTAAGCTCAGATGACCTGTGGATGTATGCACCTATTGCTTACAACGGAATTGACATTGGTCTTCACCAGAAGATTTCTCTTCTATGACATTTGAGGCTGCTTCGTGATCATTTTTTATTTTTTAATTTTCTCCCAAATATTAACTGAAATTATAAAAAAAAAAAACAATATATATATATATATATATATATACATACATACATCAAACTAAACTATTGTAATGAATCAAGGGATGAGTATCGGCTTCTTATTGTTTTTAGGTGAGATTACGTTGCGAATAGCAACTTGGAAATTATATTATCTGAGAGTAAATGCAGTATGTCTTTTAATTTCTTTATTATAATATTTGAAAGTTTACCGTACAAAATTATTTACTTCTTATCTTTTGAGTATTTTATTACCATCTTTAGCTATTAATGGTTGTTATTTTTTATTTACTTTTTCTAGTGTATTTGATTATGTTGTGTTATTTTTTTAGTATAATATATTTTATTATGTTAGGCAAAAGTCTAAATTAAGATATCTAATTTGAACCAAAACTTGAATAGCAGTTTTGATAAAAAAAAAACCCATTAATTGATTATATTTTGTTCTTGTATTTATGACAATGATTATTGGTATTTGCTATCATTTATTACTATATAAATAATTTTCGTTATCAATTGAAGTAAGAATAAACATAATTAAGATAAAGAATATAAAAATCAATGGTAGTAAGATTAAGAGAGTTTGGTTATGATTTTTACCTCAATTTAAATACTTGATCATCATATAACTTTATTATTGAACAACATTATATAAACACAAATATCCAAAATCATGATAACTCATTTATTAGGTTAGAGGATATTATTCATAATATTTTATTAATGTGTCGGTGAAACTGTTGTGATCGAGTTGAGATAAATTTAAATAATTTTTATTAAATTTTTAGAAGAAAGTAATATTTTATAGTAATTAAGTTATTTTTATTTATGATAATTATAATAAATTAAAAATCTATCTTAATTTATTTTTTATATAAAAGTTATAATTGATGTTAAACATAGTAATATTATTTTTTATAATAAAAATTATATATAATCATACTATAATTAGAGTGTCTTTGTTAATATAAATAAAAAAAATGCAATAATATTTATTTTTTATATAATAACTGAAAACTTTACTATAATAAGATATTAGTTATAAATATTTTATCATTTACAGGTGTAACTATACTTTTTGTCCACTGCTATATCTAAATACCAAATTAAAATTCAGTTTGATTGATATAAATTATAATAAAGATAATAAAATTAGAATTATAAGCGATTGAAAATTTTAAAACATAAAATTATTTATAGATTAAATTCGAATGTTAAAAGTCCGTTATCCATCCGTGCTAAATCTCAAAATTAATCGTTTGAGAAAGAAGTTAATAACACTTACAAGATCGACGGAACGAATGACTTGGGCTTTTCCGCCGATCGCCGGCCGATTGAATCCGACGGCTTTAAACAAAGCCACGTCAGATAGCGGTCCCCTCGTTTCTATTTCGCGAAAAAAATCTCCGATGAAAAGCCGGGGTAAATCAGTAACTTCACTTTCTCCGATGGTAATGTCGAATTTCCATTGATCGCGCTCGGGGAATAAAAGAGCGAAACAGAATCCCTTGTCTCCTCCTCCCACTAGCGAGAGAAAATTTCTCTCCCTCTATCGCCATGGCTTACGCAGAGCAGCCTCTCAAGAAGCGGAAGCTATATGAGACAATCGTCGAGCCACCGTCGGTGCCACCGCAACCACCGGAAGCCCCAGGGAAGCCTCAGAGCCCGGTTGTTCAGCCGCCGACGCCGCCACCACTCTCTCAAGAGGAAATTCTTTCCAGGAGAAGAAACAAAGACGAGATTCGGAGTGTGTACGAGTGTTACAAGCGACTCAAGGCTTGTGTTGCGCAGAAAGATGCACGCCACATGCCCGAGCTCGAACAAGCTTATCTCTCTCTCATCACTGCTTCTAGAGGTCTGCAATCTTAGGTTTTGCTCTTATTTTTATTAATTAGTTATCCATATTTTATTAGTACAAGTCGGTGTTTGATCGTATAGTGCTGAAACTGACTTTTAAGGGAGGAAAGAAAGAAGTGATTCATTATCAGTTGTCTCATCAAATTGGTATCACTGGTTTTAGGGTCGGAAGTAGACATTGGGTTGCTATTTAGCTTTTTAGTTAGGTTTTTTGGTTAGTTATTATATGAGAAATTGGATTTTGAACCTTCCACATATTAATAAAGAGAAAAAACATGTCTACTTTGTTCATACGCTTAGAACTTAATGATTATTAGGTTTATTTTATTATTATGCACAAAGGTACCCCATGTACAAAGTATAGTTACAAGTCAATTAAGTGGCTGATTATGAGCTTTATAACGAATCAGTCATATATCCTTAAGAAAGTCAGGGGATTATTTAAGAGAAAACAGGGTATGTTCACATGCTTAATTCTCGATAACTTTGTGTTTGAGCATGTTTGACCACAAGAATCAGCAAAATATTTCTAAGATGGTTAGCCGGTAATCTTTTCTATGGTCCTGCTTATTTATTTATATTTTTTGGGGGACACATTTATCTACTTGAAGATTTGCTCTTAAAGGTGGGAAAGGATGAATTTTGAGAATAGATATACTAAAGTTTTTTGATGTTTTTGATTTTTGTTCTTTAATATTTTTGATAAACCAAACACGTGTCTCAATTTTCTGGTAGTATAAGCATCTCAATCATACATAATAATAACGTGTATTCAACGTTCATATAATACAGATTCCAATTAATCATCCCTTATTACTGCATTTTGACGAAATTGTGAAAATTATTCATGAATGTCTGGTATCCTTAATAACACAGCTTTCTCAAACTAGTTGAATAGGATGCTGAACTTCTACTCAAACGTTATTGGGAATAACCATTTATCTGTGGGCGAGAGGAATTAGGTGCCTTAGAAACCTCCTGCTATTTTGTTTAATCTACCCAATGAATCAGTTTCAAAATATATCATTTTGCTATTGATGCTTAGGTTTAAATCATTACCAACTATATTTCACTTGTAATTTATCATCTCATTGTATCACTAGCTGGAAATATGCTACTACTGGACCAGCTAGGGAAAAATTGATTGGGTGAAATGAAAAAGATCTGTAAAAGGTGCAACTGTTTTAACTGTTAATTTCAAAACAAATGGTCATGGTTGCTTGAAGGGTTTTATGGTTACTTAGATGTTGTACTTGTACTGTCAGAAAGATGTTAATGTTTATACATTTGAAATGAATATAAAGATAATCTACTTTCATTAAGTGATTTATTAGATAATCGAAAATAGAGGATCTTGAATCCTATTCGAAACTCAGAAGAACTATGGGATGAGGCCATTGAACAGTTAGAAAAAGCCTGGGCTCGCTTACGGAAAGTGGAAATGGAGGCGGAACAGTTTCAACTGAATGACTACCCTAAGAACGAGAAAAATTGAATTTGATTCAACTTCTAAGACTTTGGAACAATTACAAAATTACAAAAATGAAACCATTCAGTTTGAATAAGCGATTAATCAAGTCCGACAACGGGTTTTCCAACAAGCTTTGTAAGGAGGTATAGGAACTCTGAATAGTTGTTTGAGTAATGAGTTACATTTACGTATCACTAATGCTAATATTGGTATGTTTGGGGCGATGAAAGAAATAGCTGATTAGTCTTTTACCTTTTTTACTATAGGCATTATTATTTTTTGCTTCAAAAAAGGAATTAGGAAATACTTAATGCGCCCCTTTACTAGACAGAGTATGTAGTTAGATATTATACTTGGACTGTCAGAATCATGTTAATGCTCATACATTTAATATGCCCTTTTACTAGACAGAGTATGTACGAGAAAGGAAACGACTGGTCTTCCTTTCTTACATAGGTGCTAACTTTGCAGGGTGTATACATTCTTATGTTATATGCTCCTTCTTAGAGAAAAATGTATGTTATGTGCTGCAGGATGTGCAAGCGTTCAGCGTATTGTAGCTGATCTCATTCCTCAATATGCATTGTACTGCCCAACTGCCCTTGAAGCTGCAGCTAGAGTTGTTATCAATATGCATAATTGGAGTTTGTCAATGATAAGCAGAGGAGAAGATGCTGATGGTGTTGCATTTCAGACAGCTACAGGCTGTATTTTTGGTCTATCCAAGATTTGTTCTGCAGCTTCTTCAGAGGCGCCAACGTCATCTGTCATCCGGGGCATCTGCACAGCAGTTTTTGAGAATGTCCTTGCCTTTTTCTTATCATCCTTTGAAGGAAAGGATATCTTCCATATAGTTGACAAGACTTTTTGGAATTGGAAGATGCAAGATGATAATAAGATTTTTTGTGAACTGAAGCAAAAGCTTTCAGATGAAGATGAATTATCGGTGATTAAATTATCCAGACTTCGGGCACTGTGTCTTGTCCATATATTCTTTTCTTGTCCTAAAAATTTTCTTGCAGCCTGTTTTGAATTCTTTAACTCAGAAGCAAAAGAAGGAATTGACAAAGGACAGTATTTTCTGAGGCAAATTATGAAAAAACTTGATGATCTTGACGTGGCTTATTTTTCCAATAAAAGAAGTGATGAACCTAAATCAGGCACGGATTCTGCAAAACAGGAGTCCAAAGGTGGTAAGGTCGGTAGTAAGGATCTAGGTGGCAGCAACATTGGAGAAGCATCCCCTTTTCCGAAGATCTGCATGTTGGGACTGGTAATACCAGGGTTATTCTTGAGATTACTTCTATTTGATACCCAACTTTTTTTTTTCCCAGTTAAACTTATTTTCAGGATTATTGCGTTTATATATACATAACTTGAATCAGATGCCTACTACCAGGGATGGAGCACCCTGGCCATTTGGCTAATGCTGGTCAATTTTATTTAATACCTTGTTCTATTAGAAGTTTATTCGATATTTTTGTAATATAAGTTATTCTTCATTTCATCAGTTTAGTTTTTATAGGCTAAAGTGCTTGATTTTGTTTGTGCGTATAATATATAATAGGAGTTCATATTCTCCAGACTGAGTGTCTTGTGTGATGCTTTAATGC